TTCCAGCACTTTAAAGTGTTATTTCTCATCACCTCTCATTGAAATTTTAATTGGCATCCCCTGGGGGATTCCATATGAAGGTACCTTGACTATTAGATGGTTACTGCGGCAGTGCTTGGAAACTATAAACTGAATTAGAATTTTAGAAGGGGTCCTGTTATGTTGTGTTGAATTGTAATTGATTGTTTTGATTGGTATGAGAAGCATTGGAAAGATAAGATTATCACTAATGTTAGTAAACATTGATTTCACTGTACATATGTCAAATGACAAAAAATATTTCTATCAATAATATAATTAAAATTTACAGATAGGCAAAGAAAGAAAAATGCTGCTTGGAAACTTATTAGACTTTGATTAAAGGATGTTTGCTTTGTATATGCTGACCTGTGATGTTGAGAATTTTGTGTGTTAATAAAGCATTTACTTTTTGAATCTCAATGTTCATTGTCATTAAATAATATTAATAACTATGATCAGAACTGTAAAAAGTTAAATCAATTAAAAATAAAAATGTTTAATAATTTGATGCATTAGTGAAAATTTGAACAGATAAAAATGCTTACAACTAAACATCAATCTCATCTGTCAATAATAAACAAATAAAAGTCACATCTGCCAAACCTAGATATAAGGTACATAGATAGGAACAGCAAAAGTACCTGAAGAAGAGCTCTGTGTAGTTCAAAGGCTTGTCTCTCTCACCAACAGAATTAGTTCAATAAAAGATATTATCTCACCTACCTTGTCCCTCTAATGGCAGAAGCAGACATTTCTAGATAAACAAATGAAGCCTCCTGTTACCATCAATATGTATGAATATCTTATCCTATATCTAATTTGAACTATTAGTTATTCTTAGGCAAGCTTGCTGCTCAATTTTCATAACAAACAGCTACTACTGACTATTGCTAATATAATCAAGATCCTCTGTCTAGTTATGAACAATCCAGTAGGAAGGTAGCCTGCATATTTTGAAAAATAAGGTTCTTTTCTGTTTTGCTAAATAAGCAGAACAAAATGTTTGTTATACAAAGCTGGCAGTAAATTTGCCAATTTTCCACTAAAGGCATCAAATTTCAATTTTGCACTTAGACACATTAATACTACTTTTACTATTAAACCTGTCCAGCAATACATATGTGCAGCTTTTCCTCTTCTGCATGTAGAAAATGTACCAGTAAAGTTCAGAACTTCTTGTCCCATCGTGTAGTTGTGCAGTATTTCTCAGCCCAATATGATGTCATATAAAGATTATAGTCAGTGGAACTAACCTGCTCACAGGCCCAGCTCCCTGCCTGAGTCTACATTACCAGTTGGAATGCTGCCAAAGAATATGATCCATATTCACAGTGGATGCAGAGCTCACCTCTTAGACCTGTAGTGCCCAATACTCAAGCCACATGTGTCTATTTGGCTGTTGAGTGTGGCTAATTGGTTTGAACAACATGGCTATCAGGCCAGTTGAGTGTGGTTAGTTTGCTATAGCCGTATAATGGTTACTGCATCAGAAATGGTTGGATACCACGGTCTTTGGCTATGTCTACACTGCTGGGAGGGGTTTTCTGAAAAAGATACGCAAATTTCTGCTTTTTTTTTTCGGAAGAGACTTTTCCGACATTTGACCCGTCTACATGGCCCGTTGGAAAAACCTCCTCTTTTGAAATATCCCTTATTCCTCATAAAATGAGGAATATAGGGATACTAAAAGAACGTGCCCGCTTTTTCTGAAACTGTTCCAAAAAAGCGGACAAATTCCCTGGACGCAGTAGAGTTTTTCCGGGATACCTGTATCCTGGAAAAACTCTGCAGTCTAGACATAGCCTTAGACTATTACTAGAGTCTGTCTGACTGATTTTCCTCACCTGGGAAGCAAACCTGCAAACCAGGACAACTGTTACCTCTTGGCACTAGAGCAATAATACTCAGTGCTGAAAATAAAAATCAATTCCTTGCTCAGAAAAGCATTTTTCTTGTAATGTTTTCTATTTATAAAAATAAGTTAGGGTTTTCTTAAGACTTAGTGGAGTTAAGTCTTAGTTTTCTATGAGCAAACAGGCAAGGCATTGTTGGTTTTTTTCCAACATCTTCTATTTCCTAAATCTGTATTAAGATTTCTTTGTATTCCTTATGTGAAGGTAGGAGTGTCTTACACCTACCTGTAGACGGATTTTAAATGAAGACTTCCTTCTCTCCCACTGACTTTTTGAGAAAGGCAGAATTATTTGGATAATAAGGTTCTGAAGCCCTTCACGGGCTGCATACAAAATGCATACCGGATGCTTTATGTCATGTAAAATATTAAGGTTCTGAAGCCCTTCACGGGCTGCCTTCAAAATGCATACCTGATGCTTTATGTCATGTAAAATAGTAAGAATTAATCACTATGTCTGTACTGTCCTCCATCTAGTCCGGCAGCTCATGTGCCTCTATGACATCTCCTTGGGGATGTTTTGTCTGCTGCTTAGAGCAAATATTCCTGAAGTCCATTCAAACTGCTGTTGCCAAATATTCTCCTAATGGGTTGATTTATTCACATCTCCTGTCCTCCACTGACATTTCTCCCTCTTAACCCCATACAATGTATGTTTTTGGTTGTGGGGCTTATTTTTAGGTTCCTAGAAAATTAAGCCCCACGCCACCTAGTAATTTTATGGAGTCATTGACTGTCAGCTTTGCATCACCAACATTGCCTGTCTTTACTACCTGTTCATCTGCAAGAACTTCAGGGCTTTATCCCAAGCTGCACTTCATTTTTGCAATAAACTTCCCGAATAAATTTGTAACACTGCCACATTATTCAGCTTTACACATTATTCAGCTTTCTCTGTAAAACTCATTTTTGCTATGATGCCTACAGAACCTTGTCAGGTGATGAAGGTGAGGCAAGTGGTGAGCTATACTGTGAACACAGATACTTTGTGCAAAAACATGCTTGTTTTATTTTGATCTCCTTACCACAATTTGTGTGGTACTTATGGTATGACCTTCGCAGCAGTGGTAGTCATAGGATCATAGGACTGGGAGGGACCTCAAGAGGTCATATAGTATAACCCCCTGTACTCATGGCAGGAATAAGTATTATCTAAACCAGAGGTGGGCAATACAAACAAAACAACACGCCAGGGTTAGCCGCTGGCAGGCTGCTGCCACTATATTTGCCTGCGCCTCCATAAGTATCATGCAATCCCAGCTCTTGTTGGCCACAGATCGCTGTTCGTGGCCAATGAGAGTGGCAGGAAGCAGAGCAGACCAGGACGCCACTTCCTGCAAATGGAAGCTGTGATCACCCAATACCTGCAGAGGTGCAGGTAAATATAGTGGTGGGGGTCCATCAGGGACTAACCCTGAGGACCAGATCCAGCCTGTGTCTACCGCGATCTAGACCATTTGTCTAACCTGCTTTTAAAAGTATCCAATGATGGAGGTTCCACAAATTCCCTGGGCAATTTATTCCTGTGCTTAGCCACCCTCATAGGTAGGAAGTTTTTCCTAATGTCCAACCTAATGCCCCCTTGCTGCAATTTAAGCCCATTGCTTCTTGTCCTGTTCTCAGAGGTTAAGAACAATTTTTCTCCCTCCTTCTTGTAACAACTTTTTATGCACTTGAAAGCTATTATGTCCCCTCTCAGACTTCTCTTCTCCAGACTACAGCTATTATGTCCCCTCTCAGACTTCTCCTTCTCCAGACTACACAAACACAATTTTTCAATCATGTTACTATATGTTTGTAAAGCACCTTGCAAATTAAGACTCTGATCCTTGATAGGGAGGCAAGCTTAAGAGCTGCTGCAATTCTAAGGAATAGCAATAATAATCTGGGTTCCTTTGATTTGATCTAAAAGCCCACTCTGAACATCTTGTTTTGAACTGTACCTCAACCCACAAGTTCAGCCTAATAGGATAAAAGTGCTATTCCTTGCCAAATGAAACTCCCACTCACCCTGTGATAACCTGGGTGCAGGAGGATGACAGTCCTGAGACTACATGATATAGTCATCTGTTGAGAAGCTACATTTCTGGAAGATGTCATACCTTTTTTAAAAAAATAAAATGGTTTTATTATATATGATAATGTATTTAGCTTTGTTGACCCTCTTATTCCTGCTTTAGACCATTGGCTGACAGCAAAAACAGGATTCTGTAAAAAAGCAAGTCAAAACAAAAACTTTTCTAAGCTCAGTACACATAACATAAAAGCACTAGGCTTGGGTCAAATCTCATTTACACTGGTGTCCCCCAGTGTAATTTCATTTATTTTAATCAAATTACTCAGGAAGTACAATGGTTTTAACAAGAGAAATAGGGCTTCTATCTATTCTTAAAAATAATCCATCTGGTTTGGTACAGAACCATTAAGAACATCATTGATCTCCTAGCTTCTTTAATGAGGAAGTGTATAATAATGTTTCCCCAAGTGTCTCCCTTGGAAATTAACTTTTCCACTTTTTTGCAACATATGATTTTGGATTAGGTTCAGAGCCTCTTTTTTTTTCAATGTACTTTTTTTTCAAAGTTTTGGGAGTTCTCAATATGGAGTTGTGACCTGGGTTAAATCTTGTTTAGGTTGAGATAAAACCTTATTCACACTGTCATGGGAACACACTCTTCCCATAAGATAGTTGTAATAAACACTCAAAGGAAGTCTAGAATAATTTGCTCAGAAACCAGCAACACATGGCAAGGAGGTTCCATGGGCATTGTGACTAGCCCGGGGAAAGGGGGAGAAAACACACAAAGATATATAGATATAGATATAGATATAGATATAGATATAGATATAGATATAGATATAGATATATGAGAGAGAGAAAGAGGGAAA